CGCTATTTCTCTGTTTAATCTTCTTGTTTACTTTCTCTTACAAACTTCTAGTGTAAATCGTTCTACTGTCAGATCTGGGAAATAACACTGGTCTTTGAAACCAGAGGTCCTATGGACACAAACAGAATGTGGATTTACACTTCATTATGTGAAATGATTTTATTTGAATAATGTTTTGGTGATTTTCACCCTGCAACTACATGGAAAAAGGGATCTCAGTAAACCTGTAGGTCTGACCCTTATTTTGTGTTTCCAAATATGTATTGCAGGAAATGCAGGGTATAATGATAGTAAGGGAAAGGGGAAAATATGAATTGTTTCCATATGTGCTTAAGCTATATGAAGATCAATGGATGTATTTTGATATTAGATGATATGTAATACAAGAGCATGTATTTTGGAATTTTTGGGTTGTGTATTTTGTAATATAGTTCTTGTACTTTGGACGTTTGTAGGATTAAACATGTATTCTCTTTATGAATTATATGTTATATGCAATGTAAGTTTGGGGGTGTTACAGAAGTAGTATCAGAGCCTGAGTTTAAGGTATTTAGGTATTCACATGCTTGATGCATAGACTTAAACTGTTGCATTGCATATTAGGGGTCCCAGACATAGTTAGCACCTTCGGAATAAATATGATAAGTTAAGAGATCAGTGTGTAAGGTATATTCGGATTACATCTGGCCAATGTAATTTTGAATCTACAGGTACATAACTGAACTTGGACACTTTATTATATTTGGGAATGTGAAAATATGTTTAATAACTTTGAAATCTACAAATGACTAGTAGATCCAGAAGGTCCAAAAGGATCACCCGCCCCAATCCTAATAATGAGGTGGATTCCCCTGTTCTTGCTCCTATTGGTACATCGAAGGGTAGAAGTAGAGGTAGAGGCAGAGGCAGAGATAAAGGGCACACCAGAGGCAGAAACAGTCAGGAAGATAACAATACAAACCAAGGAGAATCTAATTCCAAGAACATGAATCAGGAACAGATGCCTCAACCAGAGTATGTGACTAGAGACATGTTGGCCGAAGAAATGGGAAAGCTAAGGGAAACCATGACTTCCATTATGAGGATGCCTGCCAGAATAGAAGTTAATCCATCAGTTCCAGTTATCAATAATAGAGAAGGAGATATCAAAATGTTCTTGACTTGTAAACCATCAACCTTTTCGGAAGAAAGAGATCCAGTCAAAGCAATGTGTTAGATCAAGAAGATAGAATCTGTATTCAATACTATCAGATTTGTGGAGTCAGCCAAAGTCAGATTTGCAGTCTTTATATTAAAGTTAAATGCATTGTTCTGGTGGGAAGTGGAATCATAAGCCAGAGCAGACATCTTTCAAGCTTTGATATGGGCAGAATTTGTTAACAGATTCAAAGAACAATTTTGTCCAAAAGATGCTATAAGACAAATGGAGGAAGACTTTCTGAAACTAGAACAAGGCACCAGAACCGTTCGGGAGTATACAGAAAAGTTTATTGAATACTCAGGGTTTGCAGAGCATTATATTTCTTCTGTATCAAGAAAAGTGAAACGATACATTTGGGGATTGAAGCCATCAATCCGAGAGTTTGTAATAGACATGAATTCGGCTACATTTTCTTTGACTGTTGATGCAGCAAAAGTGACCAAAAGGAATAAGAACCGCCAAGAAGAAGGAAAAATGATAGAGAAGAGGAAATGGGAAGGTCCATCATCAGGATATAGAGGGCCGAAAGCTATAAAGTATGGAAACAAACCTGTTCAAAGAGTTAGTGATAAAGCTTGTCCTTGTTATCATCAGATTCATCAGGGTGATTGCAAAACTGATCCGAAGAAGTGCTATCAATGTGGTGAAGAAGGTCATTTGTCCCGAAACTGCTCGATGACTAAAAGATGTTTTAATTGCAATTCGCCAGATCACCTTAGGCCTAACTGCCCGCAGTTGAAGGCTCCGCAGCTAACCATGGGAAGTAATACATCGAATGACCGTGGATGACCGAGCATGGGTAGAGGAGGATCAGGAGGGGCGTGGGGTCGATCTTTTCAAATGACCAAGCCTGAAGCCGAAACTACACCAGATGTAGTGACATGTACATTCCTCGTGAACTCTCTATATGCTAAAGTGTTATTTGACTCGGGTGCAAACTTCTCATTTGTATCCCCATCCTTTGCTCTATACGCTCGTATGAATTCTGTGCCACTTGACAATAAGTTAGTAGTTGATACTGCTAATGGTCAAGTATGTGGATTATGTGTTCAATAACTGTACTATTATGATTGAGGGGTGTGAGCTACCAATCAGATTATTTCCCATGCCGATGAAAGAATTTGATATAGTAGTAGGGATGGATTGGTTGGCAGATGATAGCTATATATTCTTGGTAAAAAAATTAATTTTAAGAAGCCTCTTATCTTAATCATTTTGTGAGTAAATGTGTTTACTTAACCATTGTTTTATTTTGTAGAGTCCAGCCCAAAAAGAAATGAAAAAGCCCAACTTGTGGCCTAACATTTTTGGACTTCATCAAGCCCAAATAAAGCCCATATCCTCTCCCAATTTGGGATCGGCCTAATACAGTTCCGATAAAGAAGATAGACGACTTTTGTTCGTGGGCGAGAGGGAGCGAGTTCGTGGGGTTAGAAGCGGGAGAAGTCGTGGGATCGATTAGAGGAGAGGGACGTGATCGAAGCTAATGGGGGGTTGGTTCATTATAAAAGGCGAGAGGGGCTGTTTGATAGAAGAGACAGCAACATGTTTGGGGGCTGGTTCGATTTTATAGGACAGAGACGAGAGCAAGACAACAGGGGCTGTTTGAGAGAGATCGAGAGCGAAGCGGACAACAGGCTGTTCGATTGGAGAAGTCGGAGACGAGAAGGAGACAGCAGTGGGTTCCATTGGAGAAGACGAATGCGACAATGAAGACAACAACTTTCCTCATCAATCTTTCTTGATTCTTTCGGTAAATCCTAAAACCTTTAGAATCAGTAACCTAGTTTAGCTATGTTTTGCTAATTTTTTTCATTCCAACATTGATTTAATTAGGTTTTGATTTGTTATTGCTTTGAGATTTCATTGTAAACATGTTCGAACAAACACCTCAAAGAATTTCATGTGGTGTGTTTAAGCATGAAACCCAACGAGGTTACGGATGATCTTATAAAGTTAAAGGCATTCCCTTTTTCTTTAAAAGATCGGGCTAAAGATTGGCTCTACTCGTTACCGCCCGGTTCGGTAACGACTTGGAACCAAATGGCGCGGTTATTTTTAGATAAATTATTTCTCGCCTCTCGAGCCGCTACACTCCATAGGGAAATTTGCAGTATCAAACAAAGAGATGTGGAAACCCTCCATGAATATTGGGAGAGGTTCAAACATCTCTACGTTAGTTGCCCGCAACACGGAATTCCGAGCAACTTCTGTTGCAATATTTTTATGAGGGCCTTCTTCTTATGGAAAGGAAGATGATTGATGCCGCTAGTGGAGGGGCAATTTTTAATAAAACCCCAACTCAAGTGAGGGCTCTGATCACCACTATGGCTGAGAACTCTCAGCATTTTAGTGTGCGAGGTGATTTAAGGATAGGGCCCCAAAAGATTAACGAGGTTAGCAGAAAATCAGACCAGTATTGTTTATGACAAAAAGATGATCAGAATAATATTGCCAGACAGATGGTCAGTTTTTATATATGGTGATCATCAAAATCATTATACCGGTCTGTTAACTGTGATGAAAGCCAGGAAATGTATTCAAAAGAAGTGTCAGGGGTTTCTAGCTTATGCAATTGATGCAAAGAAAGAAAAGGGAAAACAAGAATTGATTCCGATTGTTAGTGAATATCATGAAGTCTTTCCAGAAGACTTATCAGGATTACCACCAGACAGAGTTAATGAATTTGGGATTGATTTGATACCCGGAGCAGCACCTGTAGCCAAAGCACCGTACCGATTAGCTCCATTAGAACTGAAGGAATTGGTTACACAGTTAAAGGATTTTCTTGACAGAGGATTCATCAGACCAAGTACCTCACAGTGGGGAGCTCCAGTTCTCTTTGTGAAAAAGAAAGATGGTTCTATGCGAATGTATATCGATTATCGGGAACTGAACAAACTGACGATAAAGAATAAATATCCATTGCCAAGGATTGATGACTTGTTTGATCAACTGGTGGGAGCCAGTTACTTCTCCAAGATTGATTTACGATCAGGTTATCATCAGCTGAAAGTTAAACAAGAAGATATTGCCAAAACCGCTTTCCCAAGTAGTTACGGACACCATGAATTGTTAATTATGTCATTCGGTTTAACTAACGCACCTGCAGCTTTTATGGATTTAATGAATCGACTATGCCAAGAATATCTTGATAAATTCGTTATTATATTTATCGATGATATTCTCATATACTCTAAAACCTAAGAGGAGCATGCAGGATAACTCCGACTGATACTTGAGCTCTTGAAAAGAGAAAAGTTGTACGCAAAGCTGTCAAAGTGTGAATTTTGGTTAAGCGAAGTTCAATTCCTTGGGCATGTTATATCAGAGGCAGGGGTAAAAGTGGATCTGGTAAAAATTGAGGCAGTTGAAAAATGGGAGGCACCAAAGACTCCTTCTGAAGTCTGATGCTTTTTAGGATTGGCAGGCTACTACCGCAAGTTTATTCAAGATTTTTCTAAGATAGTCGTGCCATTAACCAAATTAACTCGGAAGAATGTTAAATTTCAGTGGGAGGAAGAGTAGCAAAAAGCTTTTCACTTACTGAAAGATCATCTCTGCAGTGCCCCGATACTATATTTACCCGATGGAACAGAAGACTTCGTAGTATACAGTGATGCATCAAAGCTTGGTTTGGGCTGTGTTTTGATGCAAAAAGGAAAAGTCATATCATATGCATCCCGATAACTGAAGGATCATGAAAAGCAATACTCGACTCATGATATGGAATTGGTAGTCGTGGTCTTCACATTGAAAATATGGAGACACTACCTGTTGGGAACTAAGTGTCAAATCTACACCGATTACAAGAGCTTGCAACATATGTTTAATCAGAAGAAATTAAATATGAGACAGCGTCGGTGGATTGAACTCGTTAACAATTATGATTGTGAAATTCTCTACCATCCGGGAAAAGCCAACGTGGTAGCCGATGCCTTGAGCCGAAAAGAAAGAAGTGGAACAATCAAAGCCATGGCAATGAGGATAAACTTAATTCCCGATCTTCATCAAGAGATTTTGAAATATCAGAAAGAGGTTGTGAAAGAAAAACACATGAAGTCAGAAAAAGTGGGAAAAATGATTTTCATCATGGAGCCGAATGATAAAGGAATTTTGTGCTTCCAAGGACGGATTTGGGTACCATGTTAAGGAAATACGCGGAAAACCATTCTGAATGAAAGTCACAAGTCTCATTACTCTATCCATCCAGGTACTAATAAAATGTACAAGAATTTGAAACCTTTCTATTGGTGGCCAGGATTAAAAAGGGACATAGCAAAATACGTGGAACGATGCTTAACATGTCTACAAGTTAAGATCGAACACCAGAGACCATACGGAAATATGCAATCCTTGGAAATTCCTGTTTGGAAGTGGGATCACATTACAATGGATTTTGTCATTAAATTACCACGAACCCCGAAAGGTTATGATGCATTTTGGGTGATAGTGGATCATCTATCTAAGTCTGCACATTTCCTACCGATAAGAGAAACCTATTCCTTAGAAAGGTTGGCTCAGATTTACATCAAGGAAATCGTGACTAGACATGGTGTTCCATTATCTGTTATTTCTGACAGTCGTTTCACTTCAAAGTTTTGTGAAAGTTTGCAAAAAGCTTTGGGGTCTCATATTCGGTTGAGTACGGCTTATCATCCTCAAACAGACGGACAAAATGAAAGAACCATCAAGACTTTCGAAGACATGTTGAGAACTTGTGTTATAGACTTCGAGGGATCATGGGAGGATCACTTGTCGTTGATAGAGTTTGCTTACAATAACAGTTACCACTCCAGCATCCAAGCGGCACCGTATGAGATATTGTAAGGATGAAAATGCCGAACACCGTTGTGTTGGAATGAGGCAGGGGAAAAGCAACTGACAGGTCCTGAAATTATGCAAGTAACATCTGAAAAAATTAAACAGATTCGGGCAAGAATCAAGACAGCTCAGAATCGTCAGAAAAGTTATGCCGATAAGCGACGAAAACCAATTGAATTCAAGGTAGGTGA